TGGTAGGCGGGGGACCATAGTCTAAGGGCGGTGGCGCGGTGATCGGGCGGCGGACGGCGGAAGGGAGCAGGGGCGGCTGATGGGACGCCCCCCCCCCCCCCCCACCTCCGGGAACGGAGATGGTCGGTTACGGTCACAGAGATGCAAATGTAGCACGTCCGTCCCGCAGCCAGAGGGGAAGAGACACAAATGGACGCCGCCGACGGTCGCTTTGTGTGACGACGTCTATCGATGGTCTGTCTGCCAGAGATCGTAAGCGCAGAACGGACGGTTAGGGATTGACGATACATTTGTTGTAGCTAGTGCTAACAAATGGTGGTTTTATTAATGCAAATACTATAGTATTTGCATTTTACATATGTGAAAATGCATCGTGGTTTGATCGGGACAGTAATCGCCACGCCATGTGTGGATCGCCCACGATCGTAAATACATACATACATACATACATACATCGGCATGGCTGAAACAATGATAAATCTTCTTTAAGATTTTACCCTGGCAGATACAGCTGCCTGGTAAATGTTGAAATGGCCTAAAAAAAATGAGTGGCATGAGGAACCGAACTAGCTTCATGAACTATTCGTTTCCGCATTTATAAGTTGCGAAATGACCGGCCATCTTCTTGCGTGGCGTTTTTAGTCAGATGCTTACCACATTGGCACTGCTTACCGGCTATAATGACAAAGTTGATGCGAATGTTCAACGACGTTAGCCTCGCAGTATCGGATCAAATGTGTTGAATATTCAATAATGACCTGTTTGATCTGGATTATGGGAATGACGGGCATCAGTAGTCAGTTATGCCGTACCTAGAGGCTAGGACAGATAGCCTGCCGTTCAGTAATTGAGCTGATGCTCATAAATGCGAAATGCGGCGGGAAATTACAGGACAGGCCATCAAAGAAACAATCTTTTAAATAGGCACGGCATGTTTACATTGTGATTACTTCTGATAGTGTAGCATAAATCCCATAGTAACAGAGAATAACAGAGAAAGCCAATGAGAGTAGGAAATTAGGTTTAGCTGCTTTCAGACGCAGAGGGACAGCATAAACAAAGCCGGTGTTGTCGCCATTGAAGTAAGTTTTAAGATGGTGAATAATTTTTGCACACAGTGTATGTAAGTACCTAGGTACATTTATTATTCAACGTCCTTTGTTATTTTTCGTAACGGGCTTTGTGAGGCACAATTATAAGCTGTTGTCCAATTTGGTTTTTATATGAATGTATATTTCCTTGCCATTCCTTTTTTGCGCGCATTCTCACCATCGTCATCTTACCTCCAACACGAATAAGCACATCACGCACAGCAAGTAAACAAGGTTTTCCTGGCGGCACCTGCGCCCCTGTTTTATTACCCTCGGCCGCAGCCCGCCACGACAAGCTTTGCGCTTCCTATTAGACGTATACCGACGATCGACAAACGGTGCGCACCTGCGGCCTTTCCGACTCGCCGCCGCGCCACTGGCACTACTGTGTGAAGCCTCCGCGACATGCACTGTGTCTGACTGGCTGGCGCGGGTCGGGGACCGTGGAACCACTGTCGACACCTGGCCTACCCGACTGGAGGTCATGCATCAGAGCGGCAATCTCGTCCCAGAGAGCGCCGCTGTGCCCGGGTGCCGAACCGTCGGCCTATTATTCATGGCGAATGGAATTTGGAGGGATTGGATCCCGCCACTGTAGCTGACAGGCTGAGTGAGGGAGATCAGAAATCACCGGGGAAATATGGCTGCATTTTTGTTTGTCATGGATAGGGTTTTGATTGAAAGTGTGAAATAAACAAAATAAACATGTTTATTGGAGCTTAGCTGCGATAAGTAATTTGCTGATAGACTTCTGTATTTGGGGTCAACTAATGATAGACAAACAGAACATGCTAGTTCCCAAACTAGCTTTTATTATCATTCAGAACACTGTTGCGCGAAAACAAGTGCATACATTCTGTATAATGCAACGTCATTATAATGGAAACATACAAACATGCACATTGCACAGTCATCATAATTCAAACATGCGAACATGCACAGTCATTATAATGGCACAATGAAAGAATCGCTAATAATGTGGGCATTATCAATTATCAACTGACAACGTTTGTGTTCAAGAGTCTTCCGATCTGCGATATTACCCCTCTCTTTGTCGGCGACTGGGTGTCGATGTGGCCTTCCATGCCACTCAACCGACGCCCTCACCTCAGCCGCCGACCAATAACCCTCCGGGCGGCCCCTTGGCTGACCTCATATATCGCTCGGGGCGTCTTCATAAGGGAGAGAGCATTGTCGGGTTTGAGGGAGGGACGACAGGGGAGCGGATAAATCCGTAAATGAGGGTATTGGGTTGAAGAGGAAGATAAGTCTGAGGAGATGGGATGCGTCATGTATTTATGTCATGCCTGATGACGTATGTAGGTATTTTGTTTTTATTCCTATCCACAATCCACACAGACGTTCAATTGTTTGATTGCGTAGTGAAGGAGATTATAAGAATCTACGTATTATACAGTGGCATGAAATTTTCTCTGGTGAATGCATAAACTACTCACACGCACGGTAAATTGAAACGGAAGGCGCTGTGAGTACCACCTTGCCGCTTTTTCTGCGCCATTCCGGTGGAAGTACGCTGCTGTTTTGCCGCATCCGAGCTCAGTTTTGTATTCATCTAGGCACCATCACGCACCTAACGACCCCAGTAACAATGCCACCGCAGTGGGGACCGGGCCGCAGAGCTGAGCGCAAACGGCAGTTGGTTCTGTATTCCAGTCGAGCCCCGACTCTCAAAGGTTCCAGCGAAAGAAAGCATAACAGCGCTGTTTTGCAGCAAGTTCAAAGCCAGAGGTAATCTTGTTCCAGGACTCGTTCAGGTGGAACAGTGTGGCGTTTGGTGCGTTAAGTGAAACTTTTGTAGTGTTTGTCACTAACTGAACATGAAGTCTGGCCCCAGGAGGACCTTTGAACGATGGAAAAACTTTTTCGTGGAAAATTCGCAGGTTCATTGTCTATTGTCTATCTCAGTGATATAGGATCACATTTTTGTAAAATGGTTTTAGTTTTCACTCGCGTTCCTTGACGAGCAACCTTTTCACAGAAACTATTTCCCATCATCACTAATATTCTAAACTGTACCTACGTATCTATTCCCCCTGCCGTGCGCCCACTCCCCTTTTAGTCTCACCGGCCGGCCGGCCGCGGTGGGAGCCAGTAGTTCCGGCGCCGCTCGGTTAGGCCGCGGGCTGACAGTTGGAGCCGTTGGCCGTGTCAGCACGTGGGCGCGCTGTCCTACACCCCACCTCTCAGCCGATGACTGATCCGCTGGCGGCGCGACCCGCCGCTGGCCGAGACCCCAGTTCGCGGTCCATTTGGGACGACAGCTGCCAAAGCGACCAATCAGACGGTCAGACGGTCAGACGGTCAGACGGTCAGACGGTCAGACGGTCAGACGGACACCCAGCTGCCAGGTGATATAGCTGCGGCGCCAGGTATCGCCCTAAAGACGATAGATCGTTGGATATTCTGCTGCTGAACAGGAAAAGCATCGTGTCGTTGTAATCACTTGGCTTGACATTCTCATAGACAGCTCGAAATGATTTACGTAATACCACCGTCTCAGTATTTTCCTTTCCTCCGTAAGAGTTCGGCTAGAGAGGTTTCAGCTTCCTCTCATGTTCAGCCGAGCATGAAGAGACTGGATGCAGGCCATAGCACTAATTTAGATGCTAATTCTAAACTAATTACAGCGTTCTGACATCAGATTAGCAATTTGCGCTTACAGCTGAAGAATTCCTATCGTGATACAAGCAGTAAATTTAAATTTTTTCGTTTAACAGACCGATTATATGTTTTAATCTTGAGTAGAATAGATAAACATTATTGGCATAGAGAAATTGTAATGATTATCTTTGTATAAAGAATTATGTTTGAAATAGATGAGTCATTTATACGATATATGTATGTTTTTTTTTTTGTTTTTTTGTTTTTTTGTTGGGTTAGGCCCTTTCGGTCGACAAGACCATTGCAGAGCCGGAAGGATGATAGGATTTAGGGGGAGACATTGGTCTGGGCAGGCACCCTAGTGAGTCGCCGGGGCTGAGCCCGTCCAGAGGACAGGCCACCCAGCCCCAAGGCACTCACTGCACCCGGCTACGGGGTGCGCTCCCTCGGGAGCAGCGGTGCCGCTCCAAGGGAGCAGCCCGCATGAGATAAAGTTGCCTGTCCAGCCCGGAGGGGGGTTGCGGCATGGTGGAGAAGGATTTCAGCATCCTGAGGATAGAAGCACTGATAGGTGATATGTATGTCTTGCAGACTGCCTTCTAATGACTGGTTAGAAAAACCTTATTCGTAGTAGCATTAAACCATATTATTTCGATGAAGTGTCCACTGTTCTCTCCGCATGAGTCAACTTTCCAGCGAATGTACTTACATACTCACGCGTATTTGCCCATACGAGCCGGGCTCCATCAGGTCTGGGGTAGTAGCCACCCGTTCATGGCGTCGGGGCAATGTCGACCCACAACTGGTCCGTTGGCAGGAACGACAGCCAATCCACCTGCCATAGAGACGGTGCCAATTGTGCTAAAGGTCGCGCTGGCCAGAGACCTCATTTGGTCAGAGCACAGACACCAGCTCCAACGACCGGTGAAATGGACTCATTGCAAATACGGACGCGATGACGCCCAATAAAATTGCTGGGCAGTTGAAAATGCCGACGGATAATTGACTGTACCTCCCAAGTACTTTGAAAATGCAAGTTAATAGATGGATGTAGTTGTTGACCTTCCATACTTCAGATACTGTTCATTAAAAAATATCTCGAATAATCGCATGGTGTCACAATACAAATGTAATGTGTATTTTTAACTCATGAAACGCATAATCAGTACCATTGCAAAAAAGGTTTCATGTCCCACCTGCCGTGGCACGCCAAAATTTTTCAGCAGTCCTGCTATTTCTTCTTACCTGTCTTCATTACTAAATCATCCCCAACATGTTCTGTTCCAGACACAATGAAAGACGGGCAATCTGCTGTTTCAAGACAACAACATCGGACAATATAGCCCACCACCGGCTCAGTCGCGGCACCCGGTGAGCCGCGGTGACCTGTGGTGACCTGCAGTGACCTGCGGTGACCTGTGGTGACCTGCGGTGACCTCTGCTGACCCCGCGGCGCGGCCACCGCCGGCGGGCGGTCCGTCATCACGCCGGCCATCGGGATGCCCAACAGAAAGGGCCTTCTGGCTCCACAAAACACCTTTCTTGATACCATCGCCACCCGATTCGATGGCACCCGTGAGTACACTCGATGGCGCTGTGAGTAGGATGACCTAAGCTTGGATGACTAAATTTAGTTTTTGCCAAGATTCATCCGAGCGCATGATATGAACTTATATCTGTTTGTTAGACTGTTTGACGGTATGCCAGTCAATGGTGTCTGACTTATTTTATGAGATGATGACAAAAAAGAAGCTGATGAAGCATTTGTAAATAAACTTTGAAGCATCACTTGTTGGAAAAAGCAAATAACTGTAGTCACGAAGAAATTGCGTGGCTAACGCGAGCAATTAAATTTCAACTGCTTGCGTATTTGCCGTATTTTGAACGAAGCCTTGCTTTACAATTGGGACACACGACTCAAATTGGAACATCAGCTCGTTAGTAATGATACGGCCTTATCCACTCACTTCCTTATCGTCTTCGGTAAGGATGACGCCTCATTAGTAATCCGTCCTTAACCCTCGCACGACCAGGCCATTTCTCATAACACGAACGACCAGGGGGGGGGGGTTGTTACGACCCCCCCTGGCGTTTCGAAACGGAAGGTCGTAGAGCTTAGCGGAAAAAAACAACGGATTTCTCTCAACGAGATCTCGCGATTGGTGGTATATTTTTTGGTCCTAGGTCAACATTTGACCTACTTATGACCGGTCAAAGGTCAAATTTTCCGAAAATATCAAACTTTTTCAACTTTGCGCAACGATTGCGGCAAAACGGTGAGAGATATTAACTTCAAACCTTCAACAACGTATTCCCCACTCAATTCTGCATCATATATGGTGTTTTTGGTGTATTTACCCTTTAAAAGTAAGAGGCCTATTGCTGATGAGTGATATGGTGTCACATCACCCTCCGGTGTTTGTCCCGATTCGTCGGCTGTTGACCACTGCTCCGCTATAAATACTGTAGGTAACGACTCAGAAAAGATATGTGGATACCTATCCACTGCAATGTGGATAGCATCAGCAGAAAACCTCGGGACTCGGTACACACTTCGTGAAAATCCGGCCGGAGGCTGTACCTCTTATGACGTCATAACTCCGTGACCTGACCTGACCCGGTCAATTTTCTTGCACCACACGATAGCCAATGCTTGCCCCAACATGCATGGGAAGTTTCATCATGATCCATCAAACAATGTGGGTATCACCGGCAGAAAACCTAGGGATTCGGCGCACACGTTTGGTAACTGTCGGCCGGAGGCTGTACCTCTTATGACATCATAACTCCGTGACCTGACATGACCCGATCAATTTTTTTCGGCAAAAGATGCACAAAGGTTGCCCCAGAGGGTATTGAAAATTTCAGCCCGCTACGACAAGCCGTTTAGCGTGCACTTCGAAAAAAACCTCAGGGGGGGGGGGGGGTTGATACACCCCCCCCCCCTAGGCGTTCTAGGGTTAACCTGTTGACGATAATTGACACACAACGTAATGTCGACTAGCCTTAGCTAAAAGCAAAACTGGACCTTGATCAGCGACTCGCTTTAAAGATGGATTTCCATTAGCGATCTGAGCTGAAACTAGCTGTTAACTTGAAACTCTCTGGAGTTTTAAGAGTAAGAGGTTCAGCGCTCGTCTTCTCCAGTCAAAAAGGAGGCATTACCCTTAAGTTAACAAGGCACCTGATTATACCATTCAGGTGATATTGATTCCCAGTTGTCTGTAGATGCTTCAACTGGAGATTACCTTTTAAGCTCTCAAAGCACCACGCCCTGAACGAGTTCACAAATATCGAATATGATTCCGATAACTTCATGCTTGGTTTGGGAAAAGAAAGTGACTGCATAAAGGAAAAGACGTACTACTTGTTAATCAGTTTTGCACATCATCTGAATCTTGTGTCATTTCCTGAACTTACGATAGCATAAAAACATTTGATCTTTTCATTTAAGTCCCGTTTTATTTTAGCCACAATGCTGCACCTGGATACAATCAGCCATTTGGTCTGAGCTTCACAGTCACACAACTAATGTGACTAAGGCTGTGGAGTGCTGAGTCATTCCACAGGCGTCCCTCAGTTCACCCAGTCCCGTCTATCCCACAGTCCCCACAGTATCATGCAGTTCACCACAGTTCCCACAGTCCCACGCAGTCCCATTGTCCCTGCCTCCACATTCTACCGAGTCCCACTGTCCCCCACAGTCCCCGCAGTCCCACAATCCCACAATCCCACAGTCCTACAGACCCTCAGTCCCACAATTCCCTTACTGTCCCCCGCAGTCCTACAGTCCCCCACAGTCCTGCAGTCCCTCACTTCCACAGTCCCCTTCAGTGCGCCGCCAGCCGGACAGGCCGGGTGACTCAGCCGGACCACATTAAATCGATCGGTCGGCGTCCACCCCGGCCGGTCCGGCCCGCCCGGCCACTCCGGCCCACTGCGGCCGGGTTATTTCCGGGTCTGGTCGGCTCCGGACTCTCATCATAGACTGCGTGTCGCCAGCTGGCCGACTGTCCGGCGGTCCACAGAGACCGCGGTCCGGGGAGCTCTGTGAACTCAAATCGGACGGATGATCTTGGTGGGAAGCGTCGACTTGGTGTGTATGGAAAATGTTTACAGTTTTATGCCTTGCAAGAATATCTTAGCTGTATTTAGGGCCTTGTTCTCAGCAATATTTATGGTCGCGCGAAAGGTCAGCTTGAGCGACTGGTTTATAGTTTCATGTCCGAACAGACTATGAATTGATTTGGGACTATATAATAAATTGTTTTGACTATTGTTCTCAGGGGTGTCGTTTTCCGAAAATGATTGGTAGTGCCCAAAGGCGGCGGCTGGCCATATATGACGGGGCTTACAAGGTAGGGTACCCCCAAATCTGCCTTTCTCATCGGATTTCGGCCACTTATTTTTCGCCCTGGTCATTGACAAGACTAACCGAAATCTAAAAAAACACAAAAAAAAACTTTGGAAATCTGGGTCCACACCGGACGCCATGCATAAAACGTGCAGTTATATAGGCAATAGTGTCGGAGGAATGCACGCCATTCTGAAAGAGTCCCACATCGACTTAAAAGGACGGCTGTGCTGAAAGGGGACAGGAACAGCTTTGAGGGCCCAAGCCGACTAAAAAAGACGGCTGCGGGGCCAGGAACGGTTTTGAAGACCCACGCCAATTGAAGGGTTCGACAACTAACGAGGACTGGAAACACAACGATAGTTAGAAAGACCTGCTTGCCAAAATAAAAGGATGACAGTACGAGGGGCGTTCAGAAAGCTACGGGCCCGACCATGAAGGAGCAGAGAGATACAGCATCGACTCATTATACCAAAAAGTTCATTTATTCAAATAAACATCGTTAAGACAAACACATTTCGCGCAGCGCTTCGCGAGAGCCCTCAAGGCCTCCATAACCAAGTGGGTTTTGGACCCATCCTGCACGTCCAAGACGGCTGATTTCGTCTCCCTGCTGTTAGCGAGGTTGCCGCTGCTAATTTTCTTATGTTGGGGAAGAGGTGGCAACCACTAACCAGAGTGTGCAAGGTTCGGAGAGAAAAAGTGGATGCGACAACAACTCGAAGCTCATCGCTTCACTGTTCGTCATCCCGCCCATGTACGCAGGTGCGTGGTCGCGGATCAGGTGCACACTTTACGTCAGCTTCCCTATAGCCTCTCCTCGATGTTCGATGTTTATCGAATGGACGCACATCATCAATTGTGTGCCCCTGTTTTGGAAAGTTGACGAGCGGAGGGGGGTCGCATCGACCCCTCCCCCTGCCAGGCCGTGTTATGAAAAATGCCCAGGGCGAGGGTTAACGCTTGGTGCCTTTTCTGCACTAACTACTATGAAACGAATCACTGCTCTCTTCTGGGCGTCGCCCATCCTATCCGAAATGGCGAACTATGCTACGAATAGAAGCCCGAATCTATCACAGAAGAGACTTAATTAATGGCCACTTACTTAATTTGCGTAAGTGGACATCCCAATAACACATCATTTAACACACCGCCTTGCAGGCCAAAATTCCAACTCCTTCATTGTTCGGCCCGAAACTTTTTGAACGCCCCTCGTAGTTACGAGCTTCAGTTTTCGGGGTCTGATGCGGTAATGACCTGGCGTTGAACCCTGGGGAATCAGGCTGCATCACCCACTCAAATCAATATACCTATGGCCTATTCTGGAGCACTGCGGCACCTTCCGAAGTCGGTGTAGGGCCTCCAGCGGCTGGTGTGGAGACGGATCGGGGTCTATTAGGGGCGGTCGCGTGGTATGCGGGACTCAGAGGCAGTTATGGACCTCTATAACCAATTGCGTTTTCGAGCCTCTTAAAATCCATTAAGGACCGGAGTCCTAGACACGTGAAACCTCATTGTCAGCTACATGCACCTACTGTGGCTAGAGCCTTATTTATGTACTTGCATATGTGCTTATTTAATATTTGCTTATCTGTTTATTTTGATTTTTTATCAACTGATAAGTGACAAAAGATTGGTAGGGCTCAGCGAACATTGGTAGGGCCCAAATAAACATTGGTAAGGCTCGGGCCCTACCAGGCCTATACAAAACGACGCCCCTGATTGTTCTGGAAAACAGTTCTGTTTATTTCTACGCAGTGGGGTGTGCTATGCGCCCGGTAAATACGAGCAATGATTTTACAATAGTAGCGCCGTGCCTCAGCAAAGACCTCTATGTTGAATCATACAAATAAATAAAAACTTAATGCTTGTTGGTACCAAATCTGTTGGCATTCTTTGTTTTTGTGTGTAAATTTTATTAAATTGAAGAAATTAATTATGGGCTGAAATTGCGATAAATTACAAAACAAAATGACACCGTCTCTAATAAAAATATTTCTAGGGGCATATCGACTTTCATTTCTTTTCAGGCAACCCCAATAAGACATGCTTCGAATGGCACCCTCAGGAAATGGAATTAGCCAGCGCCTTCCTGGCCTCGTTGTACCCGGGTCGCCAACTGCCTGGCCGTGCTATTACGACGCTCCCAGCAGCGTGGGCTCAGGTCCCGGGCGCTTCTGAAGGCCCCGGCACCAATAACTGGGCGACGGACGTCGCTCGG